CCAAACCCGTGTTTTCCAGCTACTGATCCTTCTTCCCTGTTCCCAACCTTTGCGTTCCAGTCACCCATTATTATCAATGCATCTTGATTGCATGTTTGATCAATTTCTGACTGCAAAAGTTGGTAGAAATCTTCTATTTCCTCCTCTTTGGCTCTAGTTGTTGGTGCATATATTTGAATGATAATGGTATTCATTGGACTACCTTGTATGTGTACGGATATTATCCTATCGCTCACCACATCGTATTTCAGGATAGAGCTAGGAATGACTTTTTAAATTATGAAACCAACCCCATTCTTTTCTCACCTTTTCATCCCCAGCGTAGTACATCATATGATCGTGTGGTTCAAAATGTCCCATGCCAAGCCATCTCATTTCGCCAATACCTAGTATGTCAATATTTAGGCGTTCCATTTCTTTCTTAGCAGTGTCCAATTTTCCTACATTCATGCTTCTCACGTTTCATGTTCCAATCACTAGAGTCTGCTTACAGCTATTCCTCTTTCTCTGTGTTTCCCTTTCTAAGATCTCAGTTTCAATTGCCATGTCTGTTAGTCCAAATGATAGTCTAAGTGCGCTCCATTGTACATAGGGTTTTTGAAGGCCTGTCATTTCAGAAGTGGATGGCCAATCCTTCTTTCTAGTCTGTCTTAATCTTTAAATATACATAATAATATCTGACAGACAAGCATTCCACAGAAAACAGCAGATGAAAGTCATTTGCCCAGTTAGAAAAATGACCAATAGATTCAATGTTGCTGTCTACCCCCACTACATGTTGTTATTGTTGGTTTTGGTTGTTTTAGTGGTTTTTTTTTGGTTTTTGGGTTTTTTTTTTTAATCCACCCTTTCCTTACTCCACCACCATCCCTTCCTACTTTTGCCTACAGCATTCAACACCCGTCTACCATTGACCAACCCTGATGTGATATTCAATAATTTCCACGTCCAGGAAGGATGCAGGGTGGAGTATACTCGGGGTGGGGGTGGGAGTGGGGGTGTGGGTGCGGGGGGATTGTATACCAATGAAGGAATTTTTCTTTTACTTTTCAAAGAGAAGAGCGAACTGGGGGTAGGGGGCTGGGGGTGGGAGAAAAGTGCTACAATGTATGAATGAAAATCCAAAATTTCTGTAAATGTTCATTGAAATTAATAAAAAAATTTCCACATTCACCTGGATCACCTTTCTTGGGAAAGAGCCACCGGTAGAGGGCTTCGAATTCCTACAGGTCTGGGGATAGAATTTAATCCATGATATGAAGGAGATACCACTTCCTGAATTTATTCAATTAGGTCAATGGTGGAGTAATTTTTTTTAAATTGAAAATTAATGAAAGTTTATAGAGATTTTAGATTTCCATTCATTCATTGTTGCACATTTTCCTCCCTGCACACCCCTCCCCAAAGTTGTTTTTTTCTTTGAAAAAAAAAAAAAACCCACAAAAAAACCAACCAAAAAACCCCAACCCTTTCATTATTATACAATTCCTCCTAAGTCCACTCCTTTTAAAGTCTCATTCTGGACTTTTGACATGAAAATAATACCTATTCATATATTCCTTTAAAACAGTTCTCTTCCTCATCTGTTTCAGTGTGGTATACATTATTTATCCCATCTTTTCTTAGATTCCCCCCAACCCTTGATGTCAGTCCTGTTTTATAACAGTGGCGTTATGCAGTATTTGTTCCTTTGTGACTGAGATCTTTCACGCAGCATAATGTCCTCCAGGGTCACCCATTTTGTATAATGTAATTTTTTTGAGATAGAGCATGCTACAGGAGAATACAGTGACCTCTGGTGGCCTAGTGGTAAAAAGTTGTACTGCCAATCCAAAGGCAAGTGGTTCTAATACACCAGTTGCTCCTTGTGAAAAAGATGCCCAATTTATTCTTAGACTTGCTGGAGAGCCAACTAGGAATTGGTTTGTTATGCCCAACGAAAATGCCCCGAAATGAGTTCAATCCATGTCTGCAATATACAATGAACACGTTTATTTCTCTAGAGAGCCCTCCCCCCCACCTCCCAACACTGCAGCCACGGAGAAGTCGGAGAGACCTCGATCCCGCCCATCTCTTGTTTATATGGCTGTTTTGATGCGGGGTCATGGGGAATGCGATTGGTGGTTGAAATACTCGGCCACGTGGCCCGGTTTCTGATTGGCGGGCTTATCTCGTTCGCCCCCTCCCACCTGTGCTTCATGAGCTGCTTCTCAGAGGGCATGTAAATTTGTTAATTATTTGCCTCTGCCCCAATAAAGCTGGGGGTCTTGGAGACTGGCTGGCGCCTCGGAATTTACTCTGCTCCTAGGGCTGAGAGCTTTTATGATCCCCATATTTACTTCTAGAGTTAATAATTCCTGTTCAAGGCTGAATCCTGGCTAGGCTCATGGGGTCCGGGGAATGTCTCCTCCCAGACTCCTGAAACGGGAATTCATCCCTTCCCTTCAGGTTCAAACTCCAGGATAATTACTTTGACTTTGTTTTTGTTGGGAGGAAGCAGGTTTGGAGAGAACAGACAAAATTTGGTTTCGTGTAAATTAACCGTTAAGATGCTTATTGGTGGTGTTAGGTGCTGTGAAGTTAACAATGACTTATAGCAACTGTATGACCAACAGATCAAAACCTTGCTGTATCTTGTCCTATTCTCACATCTCACAATCTCATCCATGCTCAAGTCCGTTGTTTGTGTCAATGTGTCAATGCATTTAGGTGAGGACCTCCCTTTTTTACCACTGACTCTGCTTTTCTCAGGAGGGTTTATATCCCCAAGGACGAGTGTCTCCTGGCAGCAAGCTCAAAATACATGAGATATTCACCATACTTGCTTCTAAGGTGCCCCTTGCTATATTTCTGCCAAAATGGATTTGATTATTCTTTGGCAGTTCATAGTGAATTCATTGACTACACATCAATAACACAATTCAAAGGTTCTTCATTTTCCTTATTCTCTGTTTGAATTTTATCTCCTTTATTAATTTTTCAGCTTTCACATGCATGTGAAGCTATGGAAACATGATGGCTTGAATCAGGCACACCTTAGTCTTTCAACTGACATCCATGCTCTTTAGCACTTTAAAGAGATTCTTTACAGTATATTTGTTCACTGCAGTATGCCTTTTGATTTTACAATTGCTTCTATAGGTGTTGATAACAGATCCAATAAAATGAAATAACTCTAGATATCCACTTAGTAGTATGATGACTATAAGAGCTAAATCAGAGGTCAAGGTTGTTGTTGTTATGTGCCACTGAGTTGCCTGTGATTCATAGTGACTCTCTGTACATTATCTCTGAACTCTGACTTATCCTGAGCCAATCTCATCATCTCCTACAGACCTAATCCCATTTCTCCAGCCACCGAGTCAATCCATCTTTCCTCTCCTGTGCTTTCCCTCTACCTTTCCAAGCATGATATCCTTTTCCAAGGACTGGTTCTTCCTGGTCATGTGCCCAACTACATGTGATGGAGCTACAAAATCCTTGCCTTCCAGGAGCAACCTGGTTTCACCCTCTCCAGGACAAACCTGTTTGTTAACCTGGCAGTCTATGGTATATTCAACACTCTTCTCAGCACCACAGCTCAAAGGTATCAATTCTTCTATCATCTTTAGTTATCATCCAGCTCTCGGATGCATAGCAAGTAGTTGCAAAGACTACGGCCTATGTTAGGTGCACCTGATACAGACTGGCATTGTTGCTCTTCAGCAAAGTTTCCAAATATAATGTGTCTTCTGATTTCCCGACTACTGGGCCATGAGGTTGATTATGGATTCATGCAAGCTAAAGTTATTGACAATTTCAGTCTCTTCTCTATCATGAAGCTTCAGCCGTGATAATCTTTGTTTTCTTGATGTTAAGCTTCAATTCATATTGAAGATTGCAGTCCTAGACCTTTTGTAGCAAACACCTCATGTCCTCCTCAAGGTTAGAAAAAAGAGGAAAAAAATAAACCCTACAAAACCCTGGAAGCCAATTATCTATAACTAACACCAAAAAAATCAACTATCTACACCACATAAGAATGAGAAGTGACTATTTAACCTCAATAAGAACCACCAGAGATGGAGAGCCAGTTGTAATCACGTAGAGTCTGTTCATGGAGAACCGATAGATGCCGACTCTATTCCAGAAGTTTCATGGCTGTGATGTTCTGAAATCTGATTGCCAGGTCTTCTTTCTAAATTGCCTCTAGGTAACACCAAACAACTACCTCTTGGTTAGAAGTTGAGCACTTCACAATTCGAGACACCTACTAAATCCTGCAAAAGGGAGACGTATGATAAACTTTTATTAGGGCAGTTTTGCAAAGAGAATGGAACATGAGAAGGTTTAGGCAGCAAGATTTGATGGTTATTGTGAGAAATGTTTATGTAAAAGAGGAAAAGAGAAATGGAACAACACAATTACAGTCCAGCTTCTTCATTAACCATTGGTTAACTTTGGATAAACCATTCAGCCTTTTTGTACTTGTTTTGTTATCTGTCAAATGAGTTAATGATAGTTGTAAGGAATAAACAACTTAGTACGCAGAGTTCACCGAAAATATGGTGCACATTTTAAGCGCTAAGCAAAATTATAATTCTTTATTGCCTTTATCAACTTATAAATGCCTTATAGACACAGTCCTGAACCATCTTTGTATCATTGATTTGAGTCCATTGTCACAGCTATTGTGTCAGTAATAGAGTATTCTAAGGGCAAGATTCAGTTGACTTCAAATAAGTCAGGTCATAAACACCATTTGCATCAGGTGCCAACCTGAGCTACTGGGCAGCAAATCTAGGATGCTTTATGATAGAATGGATGCTGGACTTTACCTAACTTTCTTTCTCTTGATCCTGCAGATCAAGCAACGTCACCATATATCCAGTCACTGCACAGATAAAATATCACTATTTGGAGTGTGGGAAGTTGGTAAAGAAAGAATTCTCTTTAAAAGACTGACAGAGGAGGATGTGGTGTTTGGGTTTGGGGTTTCATGTGTTTGTAAAGAACATTTCCCTGGCTTTTTGTGAAGCATAGTTTCCTCTTCTTGACAGATGATTTAAAAAATGATGTCTTGTTAAAATGAGCAGACTAAGAATAGTGTCCTGAGGAATATCGGCTGGTGATTTGGCAGAAAGAAGGCAGTATAGTCAAAAGAGTTCAATACGAAGGATTTAGGTAAGGAACAACTCATGTAGGTGTTGGCAGGTTCAGTGGAAACAACCACTGAATAACGAGGCTTCTTGGACTAACAATAACAGAGTAGTAATGGGCGTGAATATGGGGGAGACCATGAAGATGGTACAGGACAGGGCAAGGGTTCGATCCATTGTCCACACAGGATTGCTGATGAGTTGAAGTCAATGTCATGGCACCTAAATTATCTCTCCTTGGCTTGAGAAAATGAAAAATAAAGCAGTAGTTAAATCTGGAAAGGCCTCTCTTGCCATAGAAAATTCCAGGCATTGCCTGGATATTCAGACTTTTCATATGGAAATGAAGGAGTTGGAGAAATAAATCCTGGATCCTGACCCTGGTCCTGGTCTTGGCCTTGGCCCCTGTCCTGACCCTGGCCCTGACCCTGGCCCTGGCCCTGGCCCTGGCCCTGGCCCTGACCCTGGCCGTGGCCCTACTTCTAGCCCTAGCCCTAGCCCTAGCCCTGGCCCTAGCCATAGTCCTGGCTCGAGCCTTGGCCCTGGTCCTGGTCCTGGCCCTGGTCTTGGCCCTGGCCCTAGCTCTGGCCGTGGTTCTTGTCCTGGCCCTAGTCCCAGTACTGGCCCTGGCCTTGGTTCTGACCCTGGCCCGGTCCTAACCCTGGCCCTAGCCCTGGTCATTGTCCTGGCCCTAGTCCCAGTACTGACCCTGGCCCAGTCCTAACCCTGGCCCTGGCCGTGGTCATCCTCCTGGCCCACGTCCTGGCCCTAACCCTTTCCCTCAACCTCACTTTTGCTCTTCTCTCTCCTTCCAAGTGCAATGGGCCAAAACCAGTTGGAAAGAAGAAAGCAAAACAGTCTGTTAATGCTCCCCATGGAGGACAGCCTTCCACTCCTTCCAGCACACAGAATAGAGTGTAGACGGACAGAGAGCAAATTTGTCTACAATTTCCCACAATCAATTGCTATGTGCCTGCTAGTGTTTGATTCTACAGTAGTTCAATCAGTTAAGTTTTTTTATATTAACAGAGAGGATGGCGGTATGAGTTCACCTTGGAAGAAAATCTGTCCATCTACTTCCAAAAGGTTTTTGTTGTTAGATGGTATCCAGTTATTTGTGACTGGACGCTTTTGTTTTTGTTGTTACGTGTCACCAAGTCCACTAGGACTCATAGTGACCCTGTGAACAGCAGATGGGAATTTTACCGGATCCCGTGCCTTTCTCACGATCTCTGATAAGCTTGATCCTATTGTGACAGTCACTGTGTCAATCCATACTGTTCAGAGTCTTCTTGTCTTTCTCTTATTCTCTATCTTTCTCAGTGTGATTATCTTTTTGTAAGAACTATGACCCCTCCTGACCACACGTCCAAAGCATGTGAGACAAAGTTTCAGCAGCTTTCTCTCTAAGGAACACCTCGGTCACTGAACTCCCGGACAGACTCATTTGTTCTTTCAGCAGTCCATGGGATAGTCAATATTCTTCTCCAAGATAACATGTCAAGAGAACTGATCTTTCTTCTGTAATTCTTATTCTAACTCATAGTAACTTCATTTGTAACAACAACAACAACAAACTCTGCTCAATCTTGTGACATCCTCGCAAGTACAGCTATGCATGAACCCATTCTTATAGCCACTAAATCAGTTTGTCTTTTTGAGGAGTTAATTTTTTTTGGCTGATATTTTACATTACCAATTATGATATCCTTTCCCAGGCTTGTTATTGTGTGTCGTTGAGTCAGAACTGACCAATAACTGACTATAACCTCCAGCGGGTTTTCGGAGGCAGTAAACGGCATGAGAGGAGCTCCCATAGAGCAGCAGGTGTATTCAAACCACATACCTTTGGGATTGTAGTGCAGCTTCTTACCACTAGGCTGCCAAAGGTCCCGTTCCAATCCCTCTAGATAATATGTATAAAAATATGTGAGATGAAATCACACCATCCTCAGGCCTAAGCAATATTCTGGCAGTGCTTATACGAAGAGAGATGGGGCCATCCTTCTGAAAGTTATGATTTATTTCATATTCTTTGCTAAGACCATATTTCAAAAGCATCCATTTCTTTACTCTTCAGTTTTCCATAATAATTGTCCAGCTTCCGTGTGCAAATTGTTGTTGTTATGTAACATCGAGTGACTGTGACTCGTAGCAACCATATATACAACAGCCCTAAACCCTGCTCTGTCGTGTGCCAATCTCGCTGTCTCCAACACACCCACTCTGATTATCCCAGTCACTGAATCAATCCACCTCATAGAGAGTCTTCTTCCACTTTTGCGCTATCCATCCACCCTCCCAAGCATGACAGCCCTCTCCAAGGACTTGTCTCTCCTCGTAACATGTCCAAAGTATGTCAGACAAAGCCTCAGAATCCTTGCCTCCAAGGAGCAGCCTAGTTTAACCCTCTCCAGGATGAATCTGTTTGTTTTCCTAGCAGTCCATGGTACATTCAATATTCTTCTCTAGCACCACAGCTCAAAGGCATCGATTCTTCTATCCGCCTTTGTCATTGTCCAACTCTCTGATACATAGCAAGTGATTGCTAAGACCATGGCCTGTATCAGATGCACCTTAGTCTCCAGAGTGACACCATTGCTCTTCAGTACTTTGGAGAGGTCCCTAACAGCAGATTTTCCCATCTCAATACATCTTTTAATTTCCTGGGTGCTGGTGCCAAGAGTGTTGACTGTGGAGCCAAGCAAACTAAAGCTGTGTACAATCTCAATCTCTTCACCATCCATCCTGATGCTGCCAATTGGTCCAGTGGTGAGAATCTTTGTCTTCTTGACTGAGGTCCTCCTCAGTTTCAGCAAACAGGATTGTGTTATCTGCATATGAGCACTTAAATTAATTACAACTCGTAACAACTGGTCAGTCCTTATTCTGGGTCGATCTTAATCTCAGATGTTTGGCATCTGATAAACAAAAATTATACTCATAAGAGCATAAGAGCAGAAAATAAACAAGCCAATATATATGTGTATAAGATCTTAAGAACAACAACATGTAAATCAACCTCCTAGCACAAGAAACTCACAGAGAATTTGAGTATGTTCTAAAAGCAAACCCTAAGGACAAGACAATATGCAGATATCATGGCAGGTATTCTCTCAGAGAAATGATGCAATGCCCAGAATGCATATTTTAAGCACTCAGTAAAACAGGAGAAAGGATAGATCAGAATGAATGTCAGAAGAGACACTAAAAATTGCAACGGAGCATCCAGAAGTCAAAACAAAAGGAAAACATGCTGAAGTAACAGAGATAAACAGAAAATTTCAAAGAGCAGCTCAGAAGGACAAAGCAAAGAATATAGTGGAATATTCAGAGAGCTGTAACTGGAGAATTTAAAGGGAAGAACTCGCTCGGCTGCATTTCTCAAAGTGAGAGAACTGAAAAACAAATTTAAGCCTTGTTTCACAATATTGAAAGATGCTATGGCTGACTCTGAGAAGAATGGGAATCCCAGAACACTTGATCGTTCTGATGCAAAACTTATACTTGGACCAGGAGGCAGTCGTCAGAAC